TACACCGCAACAAAATGGTGTGTTGAAAGGTAAAATCGATCTCTATGTGAAGCTAGAAGAGCGATGCTTTCTTTCGCAAATCTACCTCTCTATTTCTGGGCGGATGCAATTGAAATAATGTGTTTCAAATAAAATAGAACTTAGATTAATAAGCTATTTTTAATAACTCCTTATAAGATTTTAAATAATCGCAAACGTAATGTAAAGATTTTCCATGTGTTTGGTTCCAGGTGCTTTCTTTATAACTCAAAAGAGAATCACAACAAGTTTGATAAAAAGTAGACGAAGCTATTTTCTTGGGATATTCTCTTACTTGAAATGCATATCGTATTCTCAATAAGACAAAAAGGAAGATTGAATAAAGTTACTATGTCACTTTTGATGACAACGTCAAATCTTTTTTCAGAAAGAAATCACTCAATGCGATAAAATTTTCCTATATCTTGTTCTAAAACAACACATCTTATGACGTTTGACTTTGAATACTTATATTTCTTTGATGAACCTAACATGGTTGTTTCATCTGAAACAAAAGCAAATTATAATCAAGGAGATGAATTGATGAAGTTAGTGGACGAGGCAATTAATGAGATTGAATTTCATGTCGAGGGGGAGCCTACTGTAACAACTAATCAATCAAGTGCTCCGGTTGAAGGGGAGAGTATTGATACTCCAACATATTAGGATTGCGACACAGAATCTACTCCATGTGAAAAAACCAAATGTTGATACATAATTACAAGGTGAGAATTCAACAAATCATGATGTTCAAATCCAGGGGAGAATCCTATGAATGATGCTAATGTTCATGGGGGAGAATTCAATGAATGTAGATACTGGTGACTATTCTGAGATAGAAAATTTTAATTATGAAATTATTCTTAATTATGATCTCAATTATCCACCCTCAATGACATGGACAAAAGACATCCAAAATCACAAGTGATTGGTGAAACATCTTCTAGAGTTCTTACTTGTGCACAACAAAAAGCAAAGCAAGCTTTGTTGAATGCGAACCAAGATTTTTGCATTTTTATTTATAAATTTCAAAAATTGAACCAAATACGGTCAAAACTTCTCTTGATCGTTCAGATTGGATTGAAGCAATGAAAGTCGAACTTAATGAATGTGAAAGAAACAACGTTTAGAGGTTAATTCCAACACCTCCAGATGCTTTTATCGTCAGGCTTAAATGGGTCTTTTGTAAGAAATTAGGAAAAGAAGGAAATATGTAACAAGGCAAGGCTCGTAGTGAAAGGATATTATCAATAAGAAGGCATAGAATACGAAGAGACATTTTCTCCGGTTGCGAGACTGGAATCTGTTCGTATTTTTCTAGCGTATGTTGCTCATTAAAACCTTTAAGTATTTCAAATGGATGTGAAATGTGCATTTTTAAATGGTGAACTTGAAGAAACAGTTTATGTCGAGCACCTCTAGGTTTTATGAATGAAAAGTATCCAGATCATTGCTATATATTAGATAAAGTTGTCTATGGTCTTAAGCAGGCTCCTCGAGTATGATATGAAACTCTAATTTGTTTTCTTAACTAGTAAAATTCTAACAAGGTTCAATTGACCCTACCTTCCTTCGCAAAAAGGTTGGTGATGAGTTGATTATTTTCCAAATTTATGTTGATGATATTATTTTCGGTTCAACAGATCTAAATTTGACTGTTGAGTTTTGAATATTAATGGAAACTAAATTTGAGATAAGCTCAAAGGGCTTGATTAATTTTTTCCTTCTTTTAAACAAAAGACAAAGATGAACAGTGCATATTTATCAATCAAGAAGCTCTTAAGAAGACATTACTTACAAAGTTTGGTATGAATGGAGAAACCGAAGTGAAAGTCCCAATGACAGTTGAAACAAAGTTAACACATTCGCTTGATAAACCAACAATTAGTCTTACTTTATATCGACAAATGATTGAATCATTACATTATTTAACATATAGTAGACCTGGCATAATGTTAGTTTTGTGTTATTTTGCAAGGTTTCAAGCTAACCCATGAGAACCTCATATGACGGCAGTGAACAAGATCTTTAGATATCTTCGCATAACTACTTCTTTAGGGTTGTTGTATTTGTCTAATATATGTTTCTTTGTGTAGGCTTATTCCGATGCAGACTTGGGTGGATGTGGACTTGATCGAAAAAGCACATCTCGTGGTTTTCAATTCTTGGATGGAAAACTCATAAGTTGGAAATCAAAGAAACAAACATGTGTTTCGTTGTCAACTGCAGAAGCTGAATACATTGTTGTTGGATCTTGTACATCGCAAATTATATGGATTCAAAGCCAACTGCAAGACTATGGTTTAAGTATGAAAAAGATTCCATTATGTTGTGACTCTAAAAGTGCAATTTGTATATGTCATAATCCAGTACAACATTCAATGACAAAGCATATCACACTCTGATATCAATTTATAAGGATCATGTTGAATATGGCAACGCAGACGTACACTTTGTAAGATCGTTAGCTCAAGTGGTTGATATTTTTCACAAAAGTGCTATCGGAAGACACATTTAATCGTATTCTTCAAGGCTTGAGAATGATGTAGGTTGAAAATGCTCCTCAGTCGTCTTAACTTGAAACTACGAGATGAAGTTGTTATTCATCTACGAAGGTATGTGAGACGTCGCATCTCAGTCTATTCATTGTTGCATGTACACTTTTCTTTAGTAGTTCATGGTCACTGTTCATCTACGAAGGCCTGCGAGACGTCATAGCCCATCAGAACTTATTTATGTTCTTACTTTTTGTTCTTGTTTTTATTGTTCATATACGACGACTTGCAAGACATCACAACCCATCGTAGGATTATATTTTGTTTTTTTTTCCTTAAAAATTTCAAAAATTCAAAAATACTTTTCATTATTAAAGTTTTGAAAAATCCAAAAAAGATTTTGTATTTCTAAAAATTTGAAAAATCCAAAAATATTTTCCTTTTCTTTAAAAATTTTGAAAACCAAAAATATTTTTTGTTTTTGTGTTGCTAGAAATATAACCCTTGATGTTCTGAGTATAAACCAACTTGGAATTATGGTTGTATGAAAAGTTATTTTGATGATCAAAAGTCATTGTTACCATGATTTTTGTGAAAGACATCACCCCTACCGTCTTCTTATATTTATTTCTTCAACATCAAACCCTTGATATTTCTAGATTATACCATCTTGAAATTAAACAATTATCTGTTAATGATCTTTAGTCATTATCACCATGATTAAATTAAAACACCAATAACTTTACAAAATTATGAATTGATGGTGAAATTGTTTATAAATTCTAGTATGAAACTAAATGAATTGATGAAAGAAACAATCTATGTTTCACGATACCAATTACATTTCATACATTTCTTTCGTTCATATCTCAATCACATGCTCATTTAAAACCCTTGAGGTTTCAAGTTGATTTAAACTTGAAACATTGGTTTTATACATTCTATGTTGATGGTCTTGATGCTATCAACATAGTTAATGTGAAACACCACAAATCTTACCCATTTTCCAAATCTCACTTCTCTAGCACAATCATACACTTACACTTAAAATCGATAAGGTTTTTGGTATACACCAATCAGAAACCACGGTTTTATAAACTTTGAGTTTATTATTATATATCATTATCACCAGGATGTATATATAAGGCTCCTATCAATACTTACTTCTTTCTATAAATTTCTCTTGCACATTCACTCAGATACACTTAAAATCTTTGAGGTCTCAAGTAAAAACAACTTGAACAAACATTTTACAAATTATGTAATTATGACTCCAACCATTATAAACATGGTTATGATAACATGCCACAAACTTTACATGTGTTCTGGTTACAAAATGGTTCTTAGATACAATAAATCTTATGGTGTTGCTGTGCTGGTCTATACTGCGAGAAGGTCGTTTGTCTTTATTCTGTGAAGACTTTTCAGTGAAAGTAATGGTGAACAATTGTCTTCTTTCCAGTGGAAGAATGATGAGCTGGAATATTTTTATTGGACCTTATTTATGTGATGATGGGCATGGGTTCTAAGACTGATGTGGATTGGATATTCATTTATTTCATAGATTTGGCGGTTTCTCTCTTCACTTATTTTAGGTTTTTCAAATTCAAAATAAACGTTTCCAATTACAATCCATATAAATACCTAAATTTTCTATAGTTATCTTCTTTACGCTTTTAGATGATTCTCATGAAATTCTCAGTGATTACGAACAATTCAAGTGTCCATTGTTCTTATCTCTTGATCGAACGACAATGACCTCATCTATCGATCACGTATCCTTTATGGATCAATCTGCCTCGTCGATCTCTCTTACCATCAAATAAAATCAAAATATGATTGCTGACCTAGATGCCTCGAAATACAATAGCATTGTTCAACATTTGATTAAATGTCTCAATCATTCTGCACTAAAGGAAGCTCTTTTTCATCATTAACAAGTTTAGATGTCTTCTTTGACTTTGGATTATTCTACGGAGTTGTATAATTATTCTTTGGATGTGATGAATTTTAAAGTTGAAGGTTATAAAACTACTATTACAAAGTCCAATTTCTGCAAGTTTCTAGGGCTACCAGTTGGTGAGTCCTATTCAAACCCAAATTTTGTTTTCTACTATAAATATTGTTTGCGTTTTTCATCAAGTGGAGTATAGACCTGTTCTGACAGTGTTATCTCGCTTCAAGAAATCATGCTTACCTGATATTTGGAATGATATATTTATGATCTTTTTCCATGTGTATTTTTGAACGTACATCTGGATCAAATAACACAAGTAATATTTTTAACACTTTGATGTATTGGATATATACTGGGGAGAAAATTGAGTTGGGTCAAGTGTTATGGGCTCAATGTGTTCAAAGTTTTACATCTACTATGAAGAATTCATAACTTTCATGTGCTAGATTTTGGTCTATTATGGTCAAGAATTCTTGTGATCACTCTCATGTTTCTCAATAGAAGGTGTTCATATGACATTTTTTCCTAAGATGAATGTTGTTACATTTGTTACAATTGATTATGCTTGTTTTATGCATATTGGATCAATTCCTGAGGCTATGCTCGTGAAAGTTTTGTCCAATAGTGAATTTCTCAAGTTATATAAGTTATTCCCAAAATTTGGTGAAAGAGTTATTACACCATCTTTAAAGGCTCTTTTGGATACTAGGAATATACAACAAAGGTCAAGGGTTAAGAGGAAAGCAAAAGTGGTGGATGAATCTGTTCCTGCAAAGCCAAGGCCTCAAAGGAATTTAAAGAAAAAGGAAAAGATTAATGTTATTGATGAAGACTCGGAGGAGAATACAATTAGTCATAATCATTTCTCAAATATTGTTTAAAATGTTGATTACACTGCAAACTCATCAGAACTGCCAAAGACAACGTAGCAACCTACCACAACAGTGATGCTTACTCCACCTATGAATCCTATCACTGCGATGATTCCTAAGGTATCTTCTGTTCCACCTACCACTACATCTCCTCTCGTACTTCATACTGAAAATGATGTCTTTCACAATATCATAAATGAGCCCATTTTTAACCTTTCGTGGTCGTAATCACATAATGTTTCACCTTTATCACCACCTCAAACCACATCAACAGTTCAAACCACTACAACTCACATTCCAACACAACCTGTTTCATTTAATCAAACTACTCTACCAATTGAAACTCCAATCTTTACAAATTCTACCACTTCAACATCTACTACCCAACAACCAATTACCATTATCACACCACCGTATTCAGATGTTGCAACTTCATAACCTCTTCAGACTTCTCTTGTTAATAATGATACAACAATTGGTATCAGAGCATGTGCTTGAAGATCTATATGATTTTCTCGAGTATCTGTTCAAGATTTGACAAATTCTTCCCAATTCGAACGACTTTGGTAAATCTCTCTAAATCATGTTCTTATTGCATTTTACTGTTCATATTCCTTTGCATTGGATCTGATTTGTTTCGAGCCCAAGGATCTAGCCGAATTTGCATTGTTTTTAGTCAAAATTTGATCAGTTTTTTATTCATTAAGTCCAATTTGAAGCCCTAATCTCGTGATCTTTACTAATCATATCATTCTTGAGCATAAATTCTATCTGTTTATTGTTCATCTAAGTCTAATTCAACAGATGAGTTCAATTCGTGTAATTCACCATCATATTCTTTCGTGTTTCTTGATTGCTCTGATTGTGAATCAAATTATTATTTTTTCTCAATCTGATTAATCGAAATTTACATCTAAATTGCATTGATTATCTATATTTCAATGATTCATGAAATTCTTCAGTTTAACTGATACACTCTTCATTTTTGGGACTCTATATTCTTATTGACATTCATCATTGATTCAATTTCTTCTCTTAATTTTTGAAATTATCGGAATTCAGTTTTGATTCGGATTATAACACATTTGATTTAGTTGGATACCTAAAAAAAGAGAGTTTCGAGGCATAGATGAGATCAAATATGTCTAATTAATTTTTTATTAGCGATCTCATAAATCTAGGAAATACTAGTATATAATTGATAATCGATATCTATCTATTTGGATTCAAATGGATGGGATAAAGGATAGCTAACCATTTATTTGTTTTGCAACTTGGATCATAGACTTTAATGATTAATGCTTTTAGAAACTAAAAGGGTATTAAATATTAAAGATTAAATATAAAAATAATAAATGATTTTTTAAAAAAGTTTTGTAGATTTATATAATCCATTATCATTCCCACGAATCATCATTTTCTTAATGATATGAAAAGCAATAACATTCAATAGATACAATTTCAATAAAGGGTTTAGGTCATTTTTGGTCACTTAACTTTTGGTTTTGTGCTCATTTGGTCACTTAACTCTTTTTAATTTTTAAAAGGTCATCAAACTTTTGATTTTGTGCTCATTTAGTCACTTAACTTTTGGTTTGGTCACTTAACTTTTAGATTGGTGCTCATTTAGTCACCTAACTTTTAAAATTGAACTCATTTAGTCACTAAACTTTTGAAAAAAATTAAAATTTTAGTGACTAAATGAGCACAATTTTAAAAGTTAGGTGACTAAATGTGACCAAACTAAAAGTTAAGTGACTAAATGAGCACAAAGCCAAAAGTTTGATGACCTTTTAAAACTTAAAAAGATTTAAGTGACCAAATTAGCACAAAACCAAAAGTTAAGTGACCAAAAATGACCTAAACCCTTCAATAAATGGGTTCGTGTTTTGAGAAATCAAAAATTGTACATTCATAAAGGACATATTCCAAAACAACTTTCTTTGAGGAATAGACCTGAACATTATACCCAATAAAGGAATTACTATGATGCTTAAGATGCTTCTAACATAACACTAGGAATAGTTATTCCTGAATTCCAAGAAGTCCTGGATAATCTGGATGTTTCGATGATAATATAACAGGTTAAACAAATATTACTACAATACATTGATATTTTGTTTTAAGCTAGTTCAAACAATGGAATAATGCAAAGTTGAATAGAGTAACCATGTACAATCTAAGAGACACATAGTTTATGGAATACCTTTAGGCCCAAGAAACCCAATAAGACCCACAAATATGGATCTTGTTTTCTTTTATGGAGAAACATGATACTAGAAAAGGAACAACTCCTTTGTCTGAAAGGAAAGTCTAGAAGAGACTGGTACTTCATGTATCTAATAGATAGAACTTACAGTTTTCATTTAACACTCAAGTACTTAATACTTAAATGTTAATGTAATATTTTTAACTTGCTTGTACATATCCAGGAAGAGTGACCAACTGGGAAAATGAAAGTTAGAATTTCACTCTCAGAGTTTAGTTAATAATTTATGCTTAGAATATAATGTACTTGTATTGTAAAATAATGTTTCTTTTGGAACAATGTATGCTTTAATTTAGCATGTTTAAATATATGTCTCAGTTAATTTATTAAAATTTAATTATTACTTAAATTGTTTTTCATAACAATTATAATCATATTCTGAAAATATTAGCTTTTATTTATGAGACTAGATCTACTAATATAATTATAAAGTAAATATCAAAGTTCTCTAAATAACAAGTTCTATATGCAAACACTTTTGACTTAAACTTGTTTTAAATCAAACTTATCTAATACATTGTCATGTTTATTATATAAATTAAATAAACATATTTCATCTTAAAGAAAAGGATTATTGAAAGAAAGTAATGTAGTTTGTTTGAAATATGTGAATCTTATTTATATATAAAATATTCCAAATGATATTTTCACTAAACTGTAGAGAAAATAATTATTAAGGAACTACACACCGTGATGTATGATTTCCTTTCTAATGAGTGTCTACGATTTAATGCAAGATACCAATCAAGATTATTAACAACTATAGTAGTTATAATTATATTTTACATGTTAAAACATAATTATGACATATTTGTTAAAGTTTTCATATATAAAGTTGAGATAAAATCCAGTAACACCATTTAAAGTTGTAGTGATAATAAAGGATGAATTAAACCTTACTGGATAAAGTTTACTTTCTAATCGGTAGAAATTATCTTCCTTTATGCTCTTGGGATTATACCTTAATCAATATAAATTGTACTTTGAATACAAACACCCACTAATAAGTAGATAAAAACACTTTATAAGATTTTAGGTGGAAAGGCTCCATCCTTATCTTACTTAATGTTTTATGGTTTTAAAGCCTATGTCAGACTAAAGCTAATATACCTAAGATCTACTAAATACATATTTGTAGAATACTATAAATGGTTGTTTAGATTATTATATATACAAACCCACCAAGAATAAGTTCTCTTATTCCTCTAAATGTTGAGTTAGCAGAAAGCAAGCTTCTAATGACATAGCAAGTAGGAGGCACATGAAACTTGAAGTAGCTCAAGAACCATAACCTGATTTTTTTAGAGTTGGCACTAATTTTAACAATAAATTGTTAAACATGAATAATATCTATTCATAAACACAATAATTGCATTATTGGTAGAAATCATCTATGACTTGAGAAATGTGGAATCTCTCATTGATGAGTTCTCTTGATGGTTTGTGACAAATCCATTAAACTACCAAAATGCTATATTAGATATTGAATCTAGATAACGACTTAGAGTCATGATCATTGACATGTAATACATGTATAACAATCAACTATGGTCTTGATTAATCTTCCTCCGTATAGGAGGGCTAAAAGGAGTAAGTGATTCTTTTAGAAAGAAAACATACATGGATATCATACACATTTAGCAAGGCTTGTTATAAAAGGATTTTCATATACTCGTGTCATTGACTATGGTACTTATCATACTCATGAAATTGACTATGATCAAACCTTTTCACAAGTAGCTATGATTAGATATGGCAAATATATTTCAAGAAAAAGAAACCGCTTTTCTTAATAGGAACCTACTTGAGGATGCCAATATAGCTTAGCCTAGATGTTTTCTTAATCAATGTTATCCTAACAAAATGTGTAAGGCTTAAGATCCACTTGTGGATAAACAGAAACATCTCAAGGTTAGAATCCTCGTTTTAATATATAAATACAAGGTGTAATTTTATATCAAAATGAAGTTGACATTTGTGTTACCAAGAACTATTAGGAGCATAGTGATATTCCTAATTTTGTATGAATATGTAGCAACCCAAAAATCATAAGGCAAAAATTTCATTTTTAATTCCACATATAAACACCAATTACTCTTATCAACCATTCAAAAGTATGTCAAAGTGAAAATAGTTATCAGAGTACAATCCCCAAATCATAATGTGTGGAAACATGGGTGGATGCGTTGCGATCATGCCGGACCCTTCCCTTTTGAATCGGAAGTACCTAAAACCAAAAACATAAATTGTAAGCACAAAGCTTAGTGAGTTTCCCAAAAAATACCCCATACCATACATGCATAATAGTCAAAACATAATCGGGTTTATTTCACCCCCTTCGGTCTCTTTTAACTGGCATTGGGTATATTTCACCCCCTTCAGTCTCTTTCAACCGGTATCATGTCTATTTCATCCCCTTCAGTCTATTTCAACCAGTACTGGGTATATTTCACCCCTTCGGTGTCTTTCAACCTATACTGGGTATATTTCACCCCTTTCGGTCTCTTTCAACCCATATCGGGTCTATTTCACCCCTACAGCTAGCATACAATCATATCAGCAAGAGTCACAAAGACAATAAGCATATACAGGCATAACAGGAAATTGTCACGAAAACAACTATCATCCTACAAACATAATCCAGTGGGCCGACATTGGTGCCTTCAACTCACGAGTACAGTGAAGGAACTCACCTTTCAGTCTAAAAGATAGTTGAACAGGACACTGCTCCAAATATCTG